TACAAACATGGGTTAATGATTAGAGGTAACTGAGTTATTTATTTGGTTAAAGTTTCAGCTATTCTATTACAGTTCTGTCATCAGATTATTTAATATGAATTGTTAAAGCATTGTTGTTTCTTTTGATGTGAAATATTAGCCTATTTATTTAATTTCAATAAAAAGCAATGTTAGTTTTGTTCACAATTTGTTTAGTTGTTTTTTTCTCCAAAAGAACCGATAAGAGTACCGTTAAAAGATCGGTAAAAGTAGTAGTACCGTTAAAACCTTAACGATACCCATCCCTACTCATGAATCTAAATGGGGTGGAAAATATGATGGAATAATATTTAACAGTACCAAAAACCCCATTCACATCCTATGAGAGAAGTAGCACCCCTTTACAAATACGTATCAATATCGAAAGCCTTCCTTTAAATGCACACTCACATTCTGGTTGTAGATGGTGACTCCTCGGCTGCAGGTGTGTGTGTGTGTGCAGATGTGCTGGTGGATGCACCAGTTACACCCCCAGCGGCTGCTCACACACCCTTGGCATCTAGAAGAATAAACAGTGGGGGGACAGGCAGAACAACAGAAAATGGAAATTAGTAGCAATAGAAATTTTAGAACACTTGCTCCTGATTTGCTTTTCTTATAGCAGAAAAAACATGATCTCTACCAACCACACATTTTTGGAAATGATACTATTTTAAATAATGTTTTCAGAGGTCACAAGCTGTATACAGTACACCTATGTAGACACAGAAAGTATTTTCTTATAACTTAGTTCAGTTTAGTTGGTGAACATATACAACTAAAATACAGATAAAATAATAGAAAATAAACAATAATAATTCAATGCTTTTGAAGTAGGGACAAACCAAAGCAGCCTTGTCTTATTTCACAGACCCTTTCATGTTTTAATAATGTTGTAAGGTTCTCAAAACATGTATAAATTGTTGTCAAACCATGTTATTTTATAATTATTTATTTTAAAACACATTTTAGATATTTTATATTTTATAAAGTTATTACAAAATACGTGTTTATTGTTATAATGGTTTACACTCATTTGGAAAGACATGCAACTTTGCTTTATACATACAAATGTGCCGTTTTTAGAGATAACCAAAAATATTTTGGTATGGTACATGACATCTACTTTTAGTTTACAATTCTTATAGCTTTATGTGGCATAAAAATTGTATTTGTGATTGTTTTGTATGTATTTCCCCAAACATTCACAAAGAAGAAGACTTTGGTACAATGTAATGAGAATGTATTTTATGTTGTTGTGTTTATGTTATGTTGTGCAATATTACAATGAGCTTCTTCAATTTGATCAACTTGATTTTTATGATTTCCAGAATAGGTTATGGGTATTTTTGAATAACCGATTGATAGATTAGATTTGAGTAATATGTGTTGAGTACTCACGGTCTGCGTCCGGAGAGCTGTTGGACCAAGCTGCAGTTGTAGAAAGTGAATTCGGTTTCTGCCACAGTCACATTGGTAAAGCGCAGTGACAGGGTCACCATCACAAACTCTGTATGGGAATACAAAACATGCGTCAACTTCCAATTATCTCACCACCTTCTCATAAGCATTATAATTTGTGTTTCCTTTCAAACTATTTTGATTGTTTGGTATTTTCTAAAAATATTTTGTTGTGGATACAATTGCTGGCCAAATACAAGACATTCACCATCTCCATGGCCAATGGGGGGCAGTCGGCTGGCATCGGGGGTGGGGCATGTGACACCAGTGTCAGTGACTGAGGCAGGAACTTCTGTGTCCTGGAAGAAGCAAGAGTAGGCCTCTCCTTTTCCTAGGCTGGGGAGGCCCTCGACTGATACTGCGATCTGAGCGAGGGAGAAAGGATGTAAAGAGAAGAAAGGAAAGGAAGTGAGCAGGACAGGAGACTCCTAGTACTAGGATGGGTTATAAGCAGAGGCCAAATTTCACTGTGTGTTTTTGTGTGTGCTGTGCTGCATGTGTGGGTGACCATTAAAGAGGGTTTCATCCCTCCGATTCTATTCATCTAAACTAGTGATGAAACTTCTCCAGTTGATAATGTACATAAGGGTATTATTATTGTATTACAAGTTTACACATCCAGAATATGGTAGAGCCAGGTAAAACATTATCGCTTGTTTTGTTGACATACAGACAAAGGACTCCTAAAGACAAAATATTGGATATTACATTTTTTCTATCACTCCATGAATCCGAAAATATATGGGTTTGAATGTGCAAATGTGGCATTATCTATTGCGAACTATTGGTGAATTTGTCTGAATAGAAGACATTTAAGGATATAGTATAGCCCTTCAAATTGACCAGTCCATGACAAGATAATAGTTTGCCTGTAGTTTCTTGGCTTCAATTTACCGTGTTTTATAGAACTAAAACTCTAATGGATAAGATGGAGAGAGCAAAGAAAGAGTGTCACATAGTAGTCTATTATTGTGCATTACTCCCATCTGTTCCCCACTCTTCCCCCCTGCATTACATCTGTTTTCTCCCCGCGGCTGATGTTGTACTGGCTGAGGTGCTGGATATTGAGGCACTGCTGCATCTGGTTGAAGCTCCACAGCCACTGGCCCCGCGTGGAGCCTCGCTTGCACTCCCAGCGCTGGCCACACCTGAAAAAACACAAGGAGGTCAGAAGGACGAAGACAAAAAGTAGACGGGATACATGAGAACATTCGCAGTAGCTCCGCTGACTCACCGTCCCTCCAGGACACACCAGCCACAATAGGGGTCTTTGGCAGACAGACACGACTGACAGTCAAGGTGGGCTCCACATTCTGCCACTGGACGCTTCTCTACCTAAAATATACAAAAAATAAGTTAGGGTTAGTACGTGAAGAAAAAAAAGATGCATAACGTGGTATTATATGTGTATCTGTGTCAATTGTTTTGTATAAAAGAACATAATTAATGTCATTAAATACCTAATAACTTCTTTAATTCATGAAATTGCCTTCATGGTAGCCAATAGGCTTACTACCTTACATTAAAAGCTACAGGAAAGTTAAGTCATGTTAAAGTTTTTTATTCTTTAAAATTCTTTCACTTTAAGCCATCGATAGTATGGAAGTCAACACCATACTAATTGTGGACTGACTGAAAAGCAGAACAACTAGCTAACGTTAGCAATAGCCTTTCTGAGCATCAAAATGCAAACTTGCTGAATTAGCCCATCTATGCTAGGTAGTTGTCTTCTAGTACGCTAGTCTAAGCTACAAATTAATAATGAATTTGCAGCTACTAATGACAGTGTGAAGGTCATTTATTTGACTTATTGCTTCTTCTTTCAATGTGTAAGCTTAACTTAGTGCTCGGATGTTAAAGTTGAATCATGCTGCTAGTTATCTATCATTTGCTAAGATAGCTTATAATGCTAACTTACTTCAAAGTAGCCGTAACATTAGTAGCTAATTCACAGCTATCTAGCTAGCTTTATATCATAAACATAGTTGAGTTTTGTTGTTATCTTGACAAATAAAAGTTGAACAAAAGAAATAGGAGCTGGCGTTAATATGTTCTGAAACAGTTGATTTCATAGTATTACATAGTATTAACTTTTGCCTGGTTATGCTTATAGCATTATTATGGTTCATTATCTTTGCTGACATTCCTTAAAATAATTTTGACTCAAAGAAATTACATTTAAATTGGTTAAAGACACTTTATTAGAAGCTGTATGACAATGGAATGCTTATAATCCTGATGATTTGGTTTTACTTGAATGCATGTTAAATATAACTGGAGGCTACAGCTCTACACTCAAATCAAGATGTTCAGTTTGTGACACAAGCCATTCAATGCATAGACTGGCAGTTTCCCACATTCATCCATCAGCATGTATGGCTACCCACACAGGCACTCTGTTGGGAGTGTGTCAATACAATAGACGCCACTTTCTCTGATCAATACCATTGTTATGTCAGACTTTATACCTCCAGCTGACTGTTGTGCCCAACACACTGGGGTTAGTCACCTTTGACCTCAAACAGCCAGCTGGCCTCTTCATTTCCTCTTATGTTCTTTGCCTCTTATTCTTTTATCCTATTTTTCGGATGAAAGGGACACAGCTTGAGGAAGTATCAAAGCCTGACAAAACTCTGACAAACGATAAATTGTCTGGCTATGAAAGACAAGCAATGTTCAGTCTCGTGTAAGGAGACATCTGCGGTGAGTCTTTGAATGGATAGACGCACCAAGATGGGTATTGCTTTTTGGAAGCTACATCTGTTGAGTAGTTCAAAGAAAAGACATACGAAAAATGTGGAAATAATCTGCTGGACTTCATACTTTTTAAAAAAAAACAAATATAACATTTACCAGCTCTAACTGTGCAAAACAACAACAGTGTTTTAGGGCCAGTCTAGGTTTGTCATTTCTAATGTTAAAGTTATTTATTTAAGAGGAAAAAACATGGATATTCCTAAAGGTTAAAAGGTAAATTAGGATTTAACTCACAAATAAAACCATAAAGAACTCAAGTATTCTTGCAAGGTTGGATCAACCTCATTCAACTAAAACGACCCTAATAAGCAATTGTTCAACACAGTGTTAGTTCATTTGAATACTTACAGTAGTTTTGGTCATGATGTAGATGTATGCTCCATTCTGGTCTAATAAAAGGTCACTTTTAATGGGGGAGTTGGGCTGGATCGTCGTGTTTGCATATACCTCCACCCGGCCATCTTGGCCCAGATATACCTGTAAAAGTTAAAAAAAAAAAAAAAACAGACACTTAGAAATCTATCTATATATAATATATATCATGCATATGACTTACAAAAAACTTGGTTTATTCCTCACACTGCAAGACTAAAATAAAGAGCAGACAGACAAGAAAATAATGCGAAAAGGAATATCTTGTTCAGTTTACAGCTCCATGGCAAATCAAATCACGATTGAGCAGGATCGCAGGAGAAGTGGCCATGAATGTGATTATGGCACAGTCAAATCTAATATGAGTCACAGGGAGACACCTCTGGCTTAAGTGATTCCCAGGCCTTCAAACTCTCATGTTACCTCATGCTAATGAGATTAGCAGAGGTTTTCATGCCTCTTTCCAGAAGGCTCTCACTTGATCACTGTGAACAGGATGGAGAATCAGTCGGCCCATTAGGAGGATGCACTCAACACATAATGGCATGGCAAATAGCCCTGTATTGCTTGCTACTTGGAAACATGTATGTAGTTTGTCATGTCTATGACAGGTTTTGTAAAGCTGAGCTGAGCGACACTTCTATAGGAGATTAAGATAGGTAGACAAACGAGAAAACATTGGTAGCTTTAAGAACTTTTAAGAAGGCCCTATTATGCTTTTTGAGGTTTTCCCTTTCCTGTAGTGTTGTTAGTTATACAAGTTGTTTGTGCATGTAAATGTTCTGCAAAAGCTAAACACTCCGACACATTTTTTCTGATAGGCTCAGAGGTGGGACAGGTGGTTGATCAAACGGTCAGGTAACCAATCAGAGCAGACTGGGCTACAAATATTAACCTGAAAAAATTGCATAATAGGGCCACTTTAAATTGCAAGGATTTACACTATTTCCAAATTCCTACCATTGGGGTTGCTAAGGTAGATGATACATTACATTACATGTCATTTGTTAGATGCTTATATGAGTCATACCTACAATATCCTTGAAGACAAATTGGACCAGGAACTATACTATATAAGGTAGGAGGTTTTTTTTGTTTGACTGAGCCAAGTCAAGTTTCAACCTGCTTTTGTGCTAAACTGAGCTAACTACAGTTGGCTACATGGATTGCTGCTTTGATCTGCTACCTAAAAGCACGATAGACGCTTTCACACCAAGTACTTTGCCGTACTTAGTTCATCAGAACTCTTTAGTTCTGATGAACTAAAGAGCAGATCACCTTCACACCGGAATAATTCCCTGCCACCCGAAGTCCCCGGCCGGAAATCCCCGGAGTTGGGGACTGGCTTCAGTAGAAGCTGCTGGGACTCCCGGATTTTTTTGGTGTGAACGCACATTTTCGGAACTATATCGGGAAAAGTACTCCAGTGTGAAAGCGACTATGTCCCCACATCTCTTTATCACACATCAAACACACACATACACAGCAAAACAGACCTACAACAAACGCCTTGAATACCTCACAGCAAAGTTATGTGTACAATCAGATCTATGCAGATGATGCTAGAAAGGTAATGATGTGGAAGTTTTGGGACAATATTCTTTTCAAAGCACAACTCGGACCTGGACAAACAAGGAGAAGCGAAATCAAAATTGAAAATACATTCCAGCCCTAAAAATGTTTCACTGCTCAAAACCTTTAGCTCAATCACACTCTGAACTTTACTGAACAAAAGTATTAGGCATGGGATTATGGTGGTATGCTGGTTTGTGTATCTTGGAAAACTGTTGGAATGACTAGAATCTTTCAGGTGCGGTTGCATTGTGATGTAGAAGAAGGGTATGGGAATTGGCACAGATATAAAACAAATAGCTGGGAATTGATCCATGGACATCCTTTGAAGGATTATGCAGAAACAACTGCAAGGGCAGGGTGTGCCAGTATCACAGTATTAGGCAAGCTCTATCGGTGCGCATGAGAAATTAGGAAACAGCGTTAAATTAAATTAAATTGGCTAATACGTCTTAATTTTTCAATGACACACAGATCTTTGTTATCCCAATGATGTGTCCAGGGCGTCTCCCACCTAGTGCATGCTGGGGCAGGCTTGTAGTCCAAAAGAAACTGGCACAAAAATGAAATGATGTCATGGGATGAGATACCTTGTGCATAGTTCCTTTGGAGTCTCCGAGGAAGGCGATGCTGTGTCCCTCTCTGGCGCTCACAGCCACCGCAGTGAGGCGGGCGGCAGAGGTGTGCCACACCACTTCAGCTTCCAGCGGTGCCCGGCTCGCCATTGGACTGGGGGTGTGGTCGGAGCCACAGGCATATGCCTTAAGAGTATTCTAGAAAGATAAGAAAGAAGGTTTTATTTCCTTTACTTAGGGTTCATTATTGAGTTTATGTACTCATGTCAAGGGGCACTTGTCTGAAAAAGTGAAGCCAATGCAGTCAGTGCCTGCAATAATTTAATAAGAAGGTAGATTGTCTAGAAGTCTATGAAAAAAAGTATCCTTCTCAATTTAGGTGTTACCTCAGTAAACATTTTAATTTGTGATATACAGTAATCACTGCCACTGCATTGATTAGCAGTTGGTTGTTCTTAAAATAAACTAATACTTTTTTTAGCTATTACATCTGGTTATAAACATGCAAGCCAAAATTAGCAATTTAATTGAAATCACAGTTAAGGTGAGTATGTATGCACCTTTAAAACTAAGCTAGCTAATGTTAACTTAATCTGAAAACTTTGCATTTAATCTACGCTAATGACACAAGGCTCTTTTGGGCAGCTCTCTTCTCCACCCTTCTGTCCATATATGGTCATGTCTAGCTATTAAAGAAACACGATTGTGAAGGCCAAAATACCAAACTAGAGGTTTTAAAATTAAAATTATTATTATTTAAAATGTCCACAAAACAAAAGTAACTGCATGGTTGCTACATCCGATTCTTTCCTAAGTGTAGGATGTTAACAGAATGCATCCGAATGACCTGTGTTTCACTGATCTTAACACATTAAACACCTACGGTTCAAACGAACAACTTCATAGTCACGTCTTTCAATTAGTTTTCCATTCTTTCCTACCATTGCCTCAGAGCCTTTGAATCCTCTTAATTCATAGTAAGAGGATTGCACCATAAATTAGAGCAGACTCATACAGACACAGCCAGCTTGCTCTTTGGTTGTGCAAAACAACCACCCTAAATCCTGTTTTCTGGTAAGCGCCCGAGCTCTGGCTCCACATAATTGGCCCTGAAGCAGGAAGTAGAATAGGAAATATATTTTGTTTAAGTCTACTAAAGACTTTGTTTATTAAAGAAATAAGATGACTTATCATGAAAACATCGTCTCTATATTTAATCAGGTCTGTTTCCTTCAGCATCGCTTTTTTCGTCCTCTGTTATTTTATTCCAATGTTTGCTAGTCTTCTGTCCCATGTTTCTACCCCCCCTTCTCTCTCTACCTTCTTATGTCATTACGTTTTTTTCTTTTTTTTATAACTCCTATCCTTCCTTGTCAGAGCTCATTAAGCAGCATCACAGCTGATTCGGGGTTAGCTTTGTTTATCGATCGCTAACGATCCCATTAAATGGTTGGTTCTGAATCCTGCAGGACCTGAGTGCAGCAGGGGGGGGGGGGGGGGGGCTGCAGCTGGGAAAAACTACTCCTAGCGCATCTAGGATTCTTGGGATTTTTTTTAAATGAGGTCCTCATTACAATGCCTTCATTCTTCCTGTTACTAAACTTAATCTGGGCAGTCCAATTCTACTTTGTTACCAAGGTATACTTTCTGTTTTGTCTTTGTGTGCGCTTGAAACCAATTGAGTCTATATACTCAAGTTATATAAAGACAGCAGAACATAATGTATCCTCATGTATAGCATGTATGTACTAACCCTAACAAGCCCTCAATGCATACAAAACCGCCTGACGGTTGTATGCCGCTAAAAACACATTCAAAATGCAGTTCACATCCATGTTTTTTCAAAATGGCGTTACGTCATCATTTTACCCCATTAAACCTTTGTGTGAAATGGTCATAATTAGCATATGAATGGTTGAGTAATGGCCAAAAATATGTTGTGTGAGGTCTGATAATATATCCTTGGATCTAGGTGGACCGTTGTCCCAAACTTGAAGCAAATCCCTCAAAGCATCTACAAGGGATATCGTGTTTACAAGAAAAGGGAAGATTTAAGGACATAGTGACCTCCACCGTTGACCATTGACCATCAAAGTCTTCTCAGTTCATTTGTAAGGTCAAGCTGAAGTTTGCACCATATGTGAAGACATTCCTTTATGGCATTCCTGAGATATCATGTTCAAGACACACAACTTGAAAACAAGATGGCTACGACCTGGGCCATCACCAACTTGACATTCTAACTATAGTATCATTCTGATACGTAGATCAAAGAGAAACTTTCATATGAGCATGTGATTGGCACAATCTGTGTTTCAAAATACCCATTTGGGCTGATGCCTAAACATGAGAACATTAACCTTCTTTCTTATTTTTCTGGATTCTTACCATGGGCAGGTTGGCACAGCTGGACTTGACCTCATACTCTATGTACGCCACCTCTCCTTCCCCCTCCACCCGGCCGTCCTGGGTGTAGCAGAGGTCGCGGGTGGAGTTGATGTGTCTGTCCAGCTCCTCCAGTGGGTAAACGCACAGAGCCGAGGAGGCATCCAGGGGATTGTTGTTTGTGGAGCCGGCGCGGGTGGAGAAGACTCCCAGCAGATCCTCACCTTCCTGGTCTCCACCTTGTCCCACCTGTTGCAACAAAGGCGTGGGAGAAACTTGAGAAAGTTAAACACAGCCAGCATCAGAGTAATGTTGATTTAAAAGCAACATTTCACACTGTATAATCAAGCAATTTAACCATACTTAAATTGCCGCTCCCTACAATTTATTCAAGGAGTCTTGGCATCGTTTGGAGACAAATGACTAGACTAAATAACTAGACAAATGTATTCCGATTCCAATTTCTTAATACCCATTAAAAAAGTTAATCAGTAACCTCAGTAAGTATGACAATATTAAAGTAAAGTCACTTGGTTACGTCCAAATATGCACGAGAGAAAATATAAGAAATGCTCAAATGTAGCCTTTTTCTCTACCATGTACAGCAGAAGTAACAATAACGGATACATTTCCACCAAGTGAATGTATATATATATATATATATATATCATCATCCTCTTTTTTTCTGTACTTTGGACGCAATACAGATTTCTTATTAAATCAACAACGTTCCATTCATTCCGTTCCTCCCCAAGCCTGCTTATTTGATGATAACATTTAGTCAGAACGTACCTGAGCAGCCTGGAGAAAGTTGTAAGTCCTGGAGAAGGAGGGGGATCGGCAGACAAGAGGAACTTCCACATAGGAATAAAAG